TCAGTAGGGAGACGAAAAATTTCTACTTAAAAAGGCCATCACAAAGAAAATCACGAAGAGTCCCAGTCAGCTATAAAGTTATTGTAGGAAGTAAGATGAAAGGTGGATTCTAATGATAAAGAAGAATGAGATAATAGTTTTAGAGCAATCAAAGCGTAATCAGAAGCACCTAAGGGTGAGTGTGGAGAAACTGAGCACTGACTAGGATCAGAAACAAGGCATAGGTTGATTTGAAAAGGTAAATGATTCGAGTTGTCCGGAAAGTGAGTTGAAAAGTTGACTATTTGAGTCAGAGATTGAGAAAAATAAAATTTGAGGGCCTTAACGCCAGCAGAGTCTCTGATACTTATGCCAAGCCATTCAGTGTGATAAGCTTTAAAGTCATCAACAACAACAATATTGGCTGACGGATAATGAGAGAAGGCACGGTCAATTTGATCAGAAATAACATCAAAACGAGTACAGTCTTAAAATGAAGTAAAGCGATATAGAACAGAGAGAAAGACGATAAAGTGAAGTGATGCTAAACTAAAGCAAAAAAAAAAAAAAGTCTGTGAATTTAAACCTAGTTTCCGACAAATGGTTAAATTCTTACAAATGTAAATGCCCAGACCAAGCATGTGTTTTTGTTTATTTCTCACCAAAGTATAAAACTTATATGAGCGTTATAAATCCTTTTAAAATTATTATAATACAGCTGTTAGAAAATGCGCATATGACCGCAAGTCACCCTAGAATTAAATAGTTTAATGCGTGTTTTGTAAAAAATATTAGTTTAGATTTATAAACTGAATTTTTTCCAAAAAAATGTTTATATTGTAATATTAAAAAGTTATTACTTCCTTCAATTTTTTTAACCCCTCCCCACACACCCTGTTTATTAAATCTGGACTAAAATTCTCCCTAACCTTTATCACCTCCCCCCCCATTCTCTTACTTGTAATAAGGACTCGAGAGTAGTTATGCATTTGAGTTTAGCTCAAATTTTTATAATCTATAATCACTAGGATTGATGTATATGTATATGTATATATATAAATCAATTAATCAAATAAGTTTATAGAAGAGCTCAAGGACCAATATAATAGTGAACAACAATAAACAGAAAACAATAAAGTGTTATATAGATAAACCAGCTCTCATTTTTAAATCATTTGAAATTGCATTTAAAACATGTGGAGATATATAAAATGGAAAAAGCTGAAAATCATATGTGTGTTTGCGCATGTTTATACATACGTGTGTATATGCATATAATTTTTAAACTCTTTTTGATACTACCAGAAGGAACCTCAGTAAGTATCGGAAAGTTGTGTTTACTCACAGAGCTTAGCAAATAGTTTATACAACATATGAAAATTGAATGGTAATGAAAAGGTTAGTCATTATATGACAATTGCTGTTTACTATACAGTTGTGTTATTAAACCTTCTATCACACTGTATTGGATAAATAAGAACTAAAAGGCGCTTATTGAAATAACCCATACTATAGAAAAACGAAATTAACTTTATAACCTTTTTCAAGTGGTCCAAAAAATTTTAAATTCTTATAGCAAAGAACTGTATAACAAACTTATCATTTATTTTCTTTTACCAACATCTTTTTTTGAATAATAATCTGAGTAAATTAAACTGCAATTAATCGACAGTGTATCTTATTTATTTTTTTTAATATGATTTTTTATGGTACGCAATATCATTACGCAAATTTCTTACGTGTTATGAAATTATAGAGTTAAGCAGTTTTACAAACTCGACATTGTTTTCATCAGTTGGTCAAAATGTTTTATGAACTTTTACATCCCACCAAACATTTAGTATTTTACATAACAAAACAATTGAGTTAGCGAAAACGTCTACTCTCGAGTCCTTAATAAAAGGGGGAGGGAGTTTTTTTTAATTTTTTAAGATTTTTTAATTATTGGAAAATTTTCCCACCCACCCCAAGCTTATTAATACCCCCCTTTCCCCCCGTTTATTAACTTTTACCTTTTGTCATCAAAAACTTTATATCTCAAAACTAGACAAAAAAAAAAAAAAAAAGATCGGAGAAAATTAATTCTTGAAAATAAGAAAATAGAAAATAATACTTTTAGTCACTGCTAAAAACAAAATCTTTTTAGTGTAAACAGGCACTAAAAATCACTGACCTAATAAGTCTAGATTTGTCGAAAATGAGTTTATTTTTAATTCTCACCAAAGTATAAAACTTATATCAACATATTAAATCCTATCGAAATTATGATAAAACAGCTGTTAGAAGGTGCGCATTTGACCGCACGCTAGAAATAGTTTTAAGGGAGGAGGGGGGGATCGATTTATAAAAATTTCCCCTCCCCCCTCCTTTAATTTCATCACCTCTTGCATTATCTTGGCTCGACGGTATTAATATGTACCCATTTATTTTTAAATACTCCTTAACGCGGCTCGAACTGGTATAATTTGACAAAATATCAGGGGCGACGACACGGGTTTTTAAATGGGGGGGGGGCACAAGGTAGGAATCCTTGCCCCCCCTCCCCCTCCGTGTCGTTGGCCTTGAACATTGATTACACCTGATGATACTGACCATTATAGGTCAGCGAAAGATTACAAATTTATAAATATATCGTAATACAACAAAAAAGTTAATACGCAGCCTTCTTTATCAAATTCAACGTACACTAAACATAAAAACACTATATGTTTTCACACGTGACCTTTAGCAACCAATTAATGCGCTATTAGGAAGTTTGACTTTCGGCGGCGTTTTAAATTTTTTTTTTTTTAGATACTCAAGTTAAGAAGACTTCTCAACTAATAAGGTTCTATCTATCATGTCACTAATAGAAATTTCAAAATAATAAATAATAACGCAATAATGCTCAAAACAGATGTCATAATAAGTTTATAAATATCATTACGTTTATAAATGGTTCATAACAGTACCAATATCAAAATATCGAGCCGATTTTCAGTATAATTTGACAAATCAAACAAAAAAAATCAGCCAGCACAAATGTAAAAGCTATTAAATGTGATTAGAATCGTGTCAATAAGGTTTTTTTATAATGTATTATTCTATTTTAGGAAAGCTAACAGTAAAGTTGAATGTAGATGAAAATGATTTACTGTTTGATTTTGTATTTTTGACGAAAATACAAAATCAAACAGTAAATCATTTTCATCTACATTCAACTTTACTGTTAGATTTCCTAAAATAAAAAAATATATTAAACACAAAAATTTTGTGTTGAAAATATCGTAGTTAATGGTTAACTAGAAAAAAACTCAGGAGTTAATATAATAATAATAAAATAATAAAATAAAAATAATATAATAATAATAAAATGACCAGGATCGTAAAATGGGTTTAACTAAAGCATTTTTATGATGCAGAATCTAAAAGTCTTTTTAAGTTATCTTAGCTGAGTAAAACTTCTACTGCTCCAAAAGCTGTTGATGCTGCAACGTGTATATATCAAACTTGTTATGGCTTCGTAGGTTTTGTATATATTTACTTAACATAACACAAAATTATGCTCTTTTTGGTTTATTCATGTCAGATTACCTGGAAAAAGAATATAGTAAACTTTATCAAGGTTTTTTATTTACCTTGTCATAAGTTGAATTTATTTATTTAAAAAATTATTCAGACTGAGATAGAGGCAAATTTTGATTGACCCTTCCACCTTTTTCTTTCTTTATAGTAAGGTGGTCGGCCATCACAGGACCAGCTGTAATTTTTTGTAAAATTTGTCTAAAAATGAATTTTCAGGCAAAGGGAATAATCATGTAATTTAATGCTTGTTCTCTTATTTTTAAAGTTATACTTAATTAAAAGTAAGCAAATAAAATTTATCATTTTGAATATTTATTGGTTATTACAATAAATTATATAAAGTATATGTAAAGTAATCATATTTTGTAAAACTGCCTTTATTTGCAATAACTGCTTCGATATGTTTTGGCATCCTAGCAATTGATTTTTTATAGTTTCTTTCAACTCTTGGTTATTGTGCCAGATCCTGATAATTGCTTCCATAAAGTCTTGTTTTATTTATAATTTTTTTTTCGATCACTCACTTTACTATCTCCTAAATGTTTTCTATGGGGTTAAGATCAGGTGATTTGCCTAGCCATGACAATACATCAGCTTTTTTCTGTTTTAAATAACCCATAACACTTTTTGCTGTGTGGCAAGTTGCACCATCTTGCATTAATATAAGATTTTTGAATTTTTTTGACATTTTATACCAATCTGCCATTTAGGAAAGCAACTAATTATCCAGAACTTCTTTATAGTGGTCCTGCCTCACTGTCTTAACCACTTTGCAGAGACTCTCTGCTCCTTGTCCACAAATGACTGATTAGATCATTACTAATGCTGAATGCTTGACTGTTTCCACAATGCAGTCAGGATGAAACTTTTTGTTTGTTTTATAACAAACAAAAGCAATTTAGTCCATTATTACTTGAAAGGGTGACTCATTTGAGAAGAAAATCTTCTCAAATGAGTTAAAATATTTATAAAATATTTTGAAATAATTGATATAATTTTAAATGAATATGAATGCGAATAAAAATACTTTTTCCCAATTCCTAATGGGCTAGTGATAATAGTTTTGAGCCAACTCTAGTTTTTTTTTTATAAGTGAAGTTAATTTTGGTTTCTTGGCTGGACGATGACACATCAATCCCTCTTCGTTTAGCCATATGTAAATGGTCTGGTCTGACACAACAATAACAGCTTCAAGGATCAGCCAATATATAAAATTTTTATTAAATATTACTTAGAATAAAAATAGCTTGACATGTAACAAAAAATAATCATATTTAATTTAAAAATAAGAGGGTTTAGGCAATCTATTTAAAATAAATTGTGAAAAAATTGTGTGCTTCTAATGTGATAGCCGACTACTCTAAGAGACTCTATGTCTGAATTTGAATTCTTTCCACCACATTCACTAGAAAATGTTTAAATTTTGATTCATTTTTAAATTTTTTTGATTATTTTAGATTTATTAACAAAACCATTGGGCAACTGTGCAACTACTACAGGACGCTACTTGGATTGTTTGAACAACACTAAAAATAACACAATATATAATCATCCTTGTCCTTATCTTTTTTTTAAGTCAGGTAACACTATTTTTTCAAGTTTACATACTATTATGTTTTATGCTTTTTTTTGGTTTTATGTTTTTAACTGATATCCCTTTAAATATTTTTTCTGTTCAAAGGCATACAATAATCGATCAATCAAATTTCTTGACATACTCTCTCCACTTCCTAACGTTTTTTGAGTTCTAGACCAACAATTGGTATCCATGATAATTTCATAAATAATATATATATAAACACTATATTCAAAAAGTAAATGTGGTATTAAAATGTATTTAAGTGCATATCTTTTTTGCACAACATAAAAACTATTAATATGTTTATAGTTTTTATGTAGACATGTATATTTATGATGATATTAGAGTTGATAGTGGATTTATATTGAAGTTAAACATTGATTGTAGTAAGCATACAATCATCTAAATAACTTTTATAAGTTTTTAGTTCAAATACATGCATAATGGCTATCAAAGGCTTTTTTTCTATATTTTGCAGAAATGCTTCTGCATTTCCTACTATTAAAGACAAATCTTTAGGACCTAGATTAGGTTTTTGATCTGATTTTGTTTTTATATAAAGTAGTAACACATAAATAAAAAAAGTTTTATTGTATGTCTGAAAAATATTGAGTTTTTAGTTATTTGATGCCATTGCTCATATATCAATAATAACAGGAATTGCTTTATTTATGGCTATGGGTGATGAATTAATTACAACAAATGAAAATTAAATTTTGTATTGTTTTGCTATATTGATAGAACAGTAAAATTTGTAAGTACATTTTGCTTTTTATTAGTGTTGGTTTTTATTTTCTCAGTACTTGTATGTTCTAAAAGGTGGTTTGTTTATTGTAGATACAACAGGGTGTGTTGGATCATTTTTAGGTATTTGTGAGTCTTAATCATTGTTGTTGAATAGAAGAATGAAGTTGTATCTAATTTCAGTTCTTTTCTTAGTTTACAAAAATGTTTATAAAGCTTGGTTGTGAATGTGGGTTTTAGATTGTAATCAACAATTTCACTATTTTTTATTTATTCTTCTAATTTAAGATATGCATCCTCTTTTTTTGTTTAAACTTCTAATTGGAGAAAGTGTTCATTGCTCATTGTTGCCAGGATATATCTTAATTTGTAAATATTATTAAAAAAAAACAGTTTTACTATCTTTCAATATCATTTTGACATTACATTTGATCCAGAAGTTGATATTATGTTTGATCTAAAGATTCAAAACTTATTACCCTACTTTTCGAGTTAAAGGGAACAAGTTTTAAGAGTCATTTGTTTCCAGGCTTTGATCATTGTCATTTTTTTTGTAAAGTATTCTCATTAGATATTAGCAAAAAAATACCAAAGTTTTAAATTTTTTTACGTATTTTAATGTCACTTTTATCAAAAAATGCTGCTGTGTTCCCTGTGTACTGTTTTGTTTTTGAGTTTCTACTTCTGTTTTTCAAGTTTTCTAAGTACTCATCTAGTTTTTCAAGTTTTCTAAGTACTCATATTAGTAATAATGTTCATACCAAAGATTTTAAAAAAATCTTATTGTTGCCTCAACCCAAACCCTCAGTCAATATTCTTCTTGCATGTTCTCCCTACATCAGTCAATATATGTAATGCTCTCTAAATTAGTATGAAACCTTCTTTTTAAATGGCTCTTATTTTCTTATCGAGTTCTTATTTTTAAACTGAGTTAAAAAACTGAGGGCGTGTCCCTTGCCATCATATTAGTTTTCTAAGTACTCATATTAGTAATAATGTTCATACCAGAGATTTTTAAAAACTCTTATTGTTGCCTCAACCCAAACCCTCAGTCAATATTCTTCTTGCATGTTCTCCCTACATCAGTCAATATATGTAATGCTCTCTAAATCAGTATGAAACCTTCTTTTTAAATGGCTCTTATTTTCTTATCGAGTTCTTATTTTTAAACTGAGTTAAAAAACTGAGGGCGTGTCCCTTGCCATCATAATATCATCATGGCTTTAATTAATATTGCAGCCGAGCTACCAGAAGTAGAAAACTTCTGGGAACTTGGATGTAATATTTATTTTTGGGGGCCCATACTTATAAATATATTCATATAAATAAACGGGAAATTTAATTTTGACAGGTTTCTTGAATTTCAGCTTTAGTTTTTTTTAGATCAAAATAAAAAGTTTGCAAGATAATTAACAGAAAAAAAAAAGAAATTTGTTTTAACAAAGGTTTTAATAATCTCAAAATTATATATAATAAGTTTTGATAATCACAATAATATAAAATAACTAAAATACAAGTTTAAATTGTTTTAAATAATTGTTTACTTTCCAAAGTTCACTTTTCTGTCAAGTCCGTAAGATCTGTCATTTTTGCTTCTGCGTTCTCTACTAATAAAATTTCTAAAAGGTTATGTTTATCTTGAGCCATTATCAATCGTTAAAAAGTTTTAACTAATTTTAATTTGCCTGAGGATCGTTTAGCAGTAGCCTTAGTAACTTAGTCTTAGAAGAGTTATATCCTATATAAGTATTGGCGAAAATTATATTAAATATTTTCTATAGTAATGTTAAAAATATTAAAAATAATGTTTTTAGCTTCTTCTAAAGAATTTTTATTTAAACTATTTCTCAATGCTTCAAATTCTTTTTTTACTGATTTAATTAGTATTAAAGCAGCTTCTAAAGACAAATCTTTCTTTAGTAATAATGTATTAATTTTATTAATAATACTATAAACATAAATCAAACTAAAAAAGAAATTCTAAAAGTTAGTTTTTAAATAATCTCAAAGTTATTTATTTTGGAAACTAGTGAACAATCTAAAGCGTTAAAAAGATTGCATAGAGCAGAAGTATATGTATTTTTTTAATGTAAAAATGCAATGTTTTTAATTTAATTGTACAAGCAGTTGCATCACATAGAAGTAAATAAAAATGATAAAACAATCAATTACACAATTGTCACTGTTTTTAAAAAAAACCTTTTTGACACTTTACACAGACTTTTTTAGTCTTACTTTGTTTTCATATTAAGTCTTGCAAAACATTTAACTAATAAAACTCAATAAACAACATTCTTAATCATGATGTTAAAAATCTTTTTAAAGTTCTCAAATTTAACATTACTTATCTTGTTTAGCTGAGAAAATCTATAATAATTATGGTTGAAAGTTTCCAGAAATTTTTAAAGAAGTTTCGCTCAAAATTTCCAGAAATTTTCAAAGTTTTTTTATTGCAATAAACTTATAGTTATTATATAGTTTTATAAAATTCATTTTTTTGTTTCAAAAATATGCATTTAATCAATGTAGCATTAGGGTTTTTTTTAAATATTTTAACAAAAAATATAAAATAACAAAGACCCACAAGCAAATAATACACTTCTTATGATATATCCCCCCCCCCTTCCCTTTCATTTTATTTGTAGAATCGCCTCTAATTGTATATAAAATGCTTAAAAATATAGAAAAATTTTTATGTATAAAAGATTGCATTTTAAAATATCTTTTTTAAAGGTACATGTTGCAAATGCACTAATGTGTTAGGTAATGTTAATTTATCTAAAAATGGCATTAGTAAACTCATTTTATTTGAATGATCAATAAAATAACTTATTTTATTTGAATGATTAATAAAATAAATTAGTTTGCTTGGTTTGATACTTATAAAACACACACACATATGGGTAATTCCACATCAAATCACCCACTCCATTGAACCATGTGTCTTCTTTTTGTTTTAAATTTTGACATATGATTCCTATTTATAAAAAAATATTGCATGCAAAATTTCAGCTAAAAATGTCAAGCGGTTGACAAGATACAGCAAATTTAATTTGGACCTGGTTTCTCAAAATGACCCGGTTTTCATAACATTCTGAAAAGTTGTTTTCCTCAATAAAATAAGAAATAAAAATGGCAAAAATATAAAAATATACATTTATAATGGTTTTTTAATGCTGAATTCAATAAATGTACTTAAAATGCTGAAATGTTAGAGGAACATCCTTAAAAATTAATAAATCAACTAGTTTATATAATCTAACTTTAGGGCCCAATATCTCAAAACACCCCCGTCAAATTTTTTTTTTTTTTGCTTTCAATATTTTAAGCTAGTTATAATCTTACTAGGCACAAAAAATCTAACTGGAAAAAAAACTGAAACATATAGAACTTTAATTTTAAAGATGTATAACTTTTTTAAGAAATTCCTAAAAAATATTTATAAATTCAATTAAAATAAATTATTCCTAATTTACAAAGTTACTTAAATATACAAGATTTTTAAAGGTATCGAATGTGCAAGTTATTTTGACTGTATTTGTAATAGTTCACAATATTGTTGCCATTTTACTTGCACTTCTTCTATTTCAACATTTTCAAACACATAGTTTCTACCAGAACTAGAGCAAGCTTGTGGAACAGATAGTTTTTTCAATATATTGATGTTAGGAATAAAACAGTGGTCGTCTCTTTCAGGCCAGTTAAAATAGATTGATGGACCTCTTGGGTGGAGAAACTTAACTTCAGCATCAACTTCTTCTAGGTTGATTTCAGTTACAATGCCGATCCACCACTTATCATCATAAACTACCGCAACATAACCTCCTAAAGTGACAGTATCAGGTTCAAATATATGTTTCTTTTTAAGATTGTGAATTATTGTATATTTAGTGTCTGTACTACACCTCTTCGCCCCAACCCTATTATCTCCAAGATGTATAAATTGATGAAAGCTACGAGTACCTGGTAGAGTTGTTACATCAGTGTACCTTTCTTTTTGCTTTTCACGTTGCAATTGTAAGTCCAATCCCTTTATGTAAATGAAGTTAACAGCCTTAATTTTCTCAACACAAAATTCATACATAGCCTCTGATGTGAGAATTTGGTTTCTGTATGGTCGTTTTAAACTTTCTTGTGCTGTTAACCTTTTTACAGTACCACCAATTCCATCGCATGGTGACTTTCCGTGGGACGTGGCAAAAAAGTTCCATTCAATTTTGAGGGAAAATTCTGTCTCTAGTTGGCATAGATTGTAAA